AGAAATTAAAAAGAAAAAAAAAGTTTCTGGCTTGCCCTTAGTGTCAAATTTGGTTACCTTTTGCTAAAAGCTGAGGGAAAGACAGACACTATTTTTAAACACCTGTGGATAGAGTGACAAATCTAGGTAGCAGCAGAATATGCACTATCTGTATTTAAAGAACTGACAGTCCACAGATTTGATCTGTAAAATCTTACTGCTTTTTTGGTATGTATCAAAATTGGAATGGTAGAACTTCAGCACCAAATTTTAGAGATTAACCTCTACTTAACCTCTCTACATTTTACAGATGAGACTGGAGTCCAGGAGTTTTGTGAATCAGTTTTCACAGGCACTTATTTATGAAATGCTGTAGGGTTTGCCCTTCATACATAGGTCCAGAATTCTTTCTGCTGCCTTGTGCTGCTTCCATTTTTTTTCCCCCACAGAATCTACATTCTAAGAAGGTACAAAACATGGAGTGATGATTTGTCTTACCAATAATAATATCTAAAAATCCATTCAGGGTAGAAGTATAGAGATGAGAGATGGAGACAGTCTTCTAGTTTTACACTATGAACTATTTAGCAATAAACTTAACTAGTTCCAATTCATTTCAGGCTTGTTGAGGACACAGTGTAGATCTCTAGAAAACAATTGAGCCAAAATATCGTTGCTTAAGCCAAAATATCATTGCTAAAGCAAAAAAAGTGAGTCTACAACTTTGTACAAATAAAAAATACTAGACTTTTTATTCTCATTCTCTTTTACTAACAATATAAATTTTAATTGTGATCTGTTTTAGGGAAAATGGGAGGTCCCTCTGCCCAAAGTTCGTGCCCAGGGAGAAACAGAAGTATTAAAAGTTATTCGAACAGGAAAGAGAAAGAAGAAAGCCTGGAAGAGGATGGTTACTAAAGTCTGCTTTGTTGGAGATGGCTTTACTCGAAAACCACCTAAGTATGAAAGATTCATTAGGCCAATGGTAAGACCCTGTTAGAGTGCAGTGGCTTAAAGATCAGTTCCTGTGGTAAACCAGATAAAGTAATTGACAATTTCCTAAAATTCCTAATACTGGTATAAAAAAAAACAGGTTGAAAAATGTTTTTAGGCCGTTTTTAAGCTGATGATAGGTATTGTTTAGCACTTTTTCACTACTGTCAAGAATCTTTGGCTTCGTAGGAGATTTGAAATGAAAGAATTCTCATTACAGAGATTGTCAGTGAATCTGGACTTGTAAACATGACAGAGACTTCCCTGGATGTCCAGTGGTTAAGACTTGGTGCTTGCAATGCAGGGGACACAGGTTTGATCCCTGGTTGGGGAACTGAAATCCCACAAGCTACATGGTGTGGCAAACAAAAAAAAAATTAGAATCTTCATTTCCACACAGCCATTTTACTCATTCATCAAGTGATCTACTATATGCCTGACACTTATCTTTGAGAACAGTTAGAAAACTGGAGAATTGCTTTTTGAAGAGTCAATTCCAGTTTAGTATGAGAAGTATAAGTGCCTTTGAAAATATTTACTTAATATGTAGTCATTGACAAGAGATTAAAATGGGCCTTCAATTTCTGTTGACAGCAGTAATGGCCAAACCCAATCTCCTTCTCTCCTCCCCTAATATATTTTTGCAGAATGCCTTTAAACAGAATGAATTCATCTCCCAACTAGACACCAGCCTGCTTAGAAAAACAAATAATCAGAGGGGAAAGTTGGCAGTATTACTCTCTCAACCTGAATCATTTTCAATGAATTAAAATGTTGCCCAACAGCCTGCTTCTATAAAGTTCTATTGGAATATAGCCATGCCCATTTATTTACATGTTGTCTACGGCTCTAGGTGCCTAGGGGAATCTGGTCTTTGTAACAGAAACTTCTCTGGGCTGTCTACAGTTTTTGACCAGTATTAACCATCAATGCAGAGAGCTGACAGTCTTTTCACCAAGGAAGGTGGCTGAGGTATATAGACTTGGAATCGAGATACTTAAGTTTGATTCCATCCTCACACTATTTAGCCTGGGAACAAGTTATTTAACCTGCTGGTCCTTGTTTTATCCTTTTTTTTTTTTTAAAGTAGCGGGAGTTTTTAAGGCTATCATGCTGAAATGCACTGCCTGTGAGCTCTGGCACAGTGCCTGGCATGTCGAGAGCCCTCGGGAAGTACAGACAACTGGACCGCTGTTCCATGGTGAAAACTTTTTAGGAGTATGTGTTTGAGTTCTTCCTCACATATTTTTCTGTAACTGTCAGATAAGTTGTCTGTAGAATTAATTGTATTTTCTCCAGTGCCTTAAGATGAGATAATATTCAGTCCTTTTTGGAGCAGGGTGGAGAGATGATTGGAAAAAATAAGCAAAAAGAATCAATATTCTTCATTAACATCTTTAACTCAGAACATTCTTGTGTTTGGCTTACTAGGGATTACGTTTCAAGAAGGCTCATGTAACACATCCTGAACTGAAAGCCACCTTTTGCTTGCCAATACTTGGTGTAAAGAAGAATCCCTCATCCCCACTGTATACAACTTTGGGTGTTATTACCAAAGGAACCGTCATTGAGGTGAACGTGNACTTGGTGTAAAGAAGAATCCCTCATCCCCACTGTATACAACTTTGGGTGTTATTACCAAAGGAACCGTCATTGAGGTGAACGTGAGCGAGTTGGGCCTTGTAACACAAGGAGGCAAAGTCATCTGGGGTAAGTCCCAGCTGAATATGGGATTCTTGGTGTTATAATCCTAAAGTAGATGTTTTTAAGTTGATGTGACGTATGTAGCAGATTTTAATGCAGTTAAACTTGATGTGAATAAGACTTAGAAAATGTGAATGTTCTTAATTTAGTTTACTGGTTTCAGTTATATAAAGTACATTGCTAGATATTTTTGGTTGCTTTTTATTTTAATAGGTATTATTAGAAAAGATGGGAAGTTACAATTGAAAAATACTGGAAGAAAATAAATTAACTACAAACGGGGGAAGGGAGGCATAGAGCAAACATGTAGCTACACTACTGAAGTGACAATTACAAACTAAAATATATATAACAATTTTAAATTCATTTTTCCTCATTTTCTTAGTTTTCTGCTTTCAGTACCCAGGTATTTCTAAACTTTAATGTTCTTTGAAAGGAAAGAATACAGTGTATAGCTTATTGATTGAATCTTCATATGAGTCATTGACACGTACTTCACATTGACCTAGATTTTAAAATAGGTTAATAAAACTAAGCCTTTTTTTGGGGCTAGTGATTGGCCATAGTATTATGCTGAGAAAGTATATTTTTATTTTGTTCTTTTTCCAATAGTTTTTACCCAAAATTAATATTGAAGTTTTAACAAATGCTTTTTTGGCATCTGTGAAGGTGATCATACTTTTTCCTCTGAAATATTTATGGAATTAATTGATTTATTAATAGTCTTCCTAGTAATAAACCATAATGTATTTCTAGAATGTACCTTCCTTGATCATGATGCATTATTCTTTTAATATTCAAATGATTCAACTTTCCGAGTTTAATTTAGGATTATCTTTTCTGTGTTTTTAAGTAAGATACTTTGCTTTATTTTCTGTTATCTTAGTCAGGTTTTTGTGTCTGTATAATGCTAGGTCAGAGAAAAGAACCAAGATAGTTTTCTCTTTCTGTGGTTGAGAGAAAATTTTTTGAAAACTAAAAGGATCACTTCTGGAGGTTTTGCTAATGGATTTGAAAACTTGGATGATTTCCTACCTTGTTTGTGGTATAGACCGGGTGCCAGTAAACTGCAGCCTGCAGGCTGCCACTTGTACAAGTGCTCGGGCCTGGCGCACTGGGAAGACCCAGAGGGATCGGGTGGAGAGGGAGGTGGGAGTGGGGACCAGGATGGGGAATACATGTAAATCCATGGCTAATTCATTTCAATGTATGACAAAAACCACTGCAATGTTGTAAAGTAATTAACCTCCAACTAATAAAAATAAATGGAAAAATAAAAATAAGCTCCCAGAGGGAGAAGGGATTTAAAAAAAAAAAAAAGGTTGTTAAGTTGATTTGAAACCTAGTTAATAATACTTGATACTTTTTCCAGTAAGAATTGTGTGGAAAAGGAGCGGTGCTAGGGTCAACCCACAAAGGCATGTTAAGTGATTTCGTTTTATAAAATCACATGTAATACTACTGTTGCTCACTTTTTTCTTTCTTAAAGTGGTGATTGTAAATATTTTAAGCAAAGGTCGTATGTATTCTTTTTTATTAGCTAATATCTCTAATTGTTCTGTTTTGTTTCCCTTAGGAAAATATGCCCAGGTTACCAATAATCCTGAAAATGATGGATGCATAAATGCAGTCTTACTGGTTTGACAGCAGTTACATACAAGTAACTCCTTATAATTACTGAAGACTACACACCAATCGGGAAACCGTTACTTTGATATTTCTGAATACTACCAATCAACCTTACATGTTGTCTTCAGTCAAAGAAAACTATTTATTCTGTTTTAAAAAAGAAAAAAGCCAACATTAAAATGATCTCATTTTACAAATTGATCTTTTCCGTGTTTAGCATTTAAATGTTCATAAAAATCAAATGATTAAAAAATCAATTATAGAAATATCTTACTTCACCAGTATTTGCATTAATGAATGGTACTACGCAGTGCAGACCTGTCATTTAAAAAAAGGAAAAGCCAGTGTAGTTGAAAATACCTTTTATCATAAAGGTTTAATGCACACTTAAATGTGAAGAATAAGCCAAGAAACTCACGTCTAAGACCTTACCTTAGGTCTTCTCCTCCTCACTGTAGATAGTACTCCAAAGGAAAGTAGCATTAACACATTTTAATTCAAATACTTTAAAAGTGTACAAGAGATGGCACATTACACTATAAAGTTCAAAAGAACAATAGTAAGTCAGGGAAATTAGTATCGTAAACATTTTTCCCTTCTCATTCATAATATATAATGCCATATACTTGGAACTATATTTTCTACTCAGACACATGAAAAAAATAAACCAAAATGTTTATACTTTTAGCGTTTTCTATATTCTAAACTTAGGGTAGTATATTTATATTTTTAGAATGGTAAAAAGACTGCACTAATGCCCTTAAAGGCAAATAAGTGTTTGCAGTTACTTAGATTACATTAAGAAGGTCATGTTTTAGTCAAAAGCACATCTGTGATCTGAGTATGTTTGTGACTGAGCTTTAGGGTGTTTATATATTGTATTAATTTATAATCACGTTAATTGTTTTCAATTCTGTTTATTTTTTTTTAAAGTCTGTCTTGAAAGTACAACCAATGTGATTAATTGTGGCTTTAACAAAATCAGTGTAAACAAATCCAGTATCTAAACACATCTTCACCAATGAAATTAGGGAAAAGGGAAGGAATTTCAAAACATAAACAATCACAAAATATAGGTTTAGTTACTACTGTTAAAATTGAAAAAAAAAAAAAAACTACTAAGAAAACAAACATAAGTACTTGAGTAATAAGTCTTGCTATTCTGAATAATGTAACATCTTTCCTAAGTTATATAAACAGTAGGTAGAAGTTTTGGAACACACAAACACTTAGGAAAAGAAAGGCTAGTTTCTTGGGAATGACTATCCAGTATGATACAATTACTTCAAGATAACATAAGTGGAACCTACCTTACAATCAGATTTTAACCAATGATTTTGCCACTAATAGAAATGGGGAATGAGTGAGTGACAAGTTTTGGAGGGTGAAACAAAATCAACTAAAGGTAAGCACTGGATACAGAGCTGAAGTTTGCTTATTTTTCACAACCAAAAATAAGCAAGTTAACTATCTTGTACAAATAAAGCTTGATACTAAGTATGTGAACAGAAGCATAAACATTACTAACTAATCACACCCATGAAAGACTGGATTAACACTTTAAACACAGTATTGCTACTAGTGGACAAACAAGGCAGAAATTTCTAAAACACTGTTAAACAGCTGAGGAATATTAGTATAAATTCTTTATTTACATTAAGATCTGTCTCAGTTTGCTGGTGTGACCAAACCTTAGAAGGTAGTCCCTATGGGTAAAGCAGAGTGTAAGAGCAGATATTTAGGTGCCAGATAAAACACTCAACTTGATGCAGTCATAAGCTTTCAAAATAGTTTTCTAAAGTCACTGAAACCATTTTAGGTGGTGTTCTGGTGGTCAGCTAAAAGTGAACCATTAATCACTAGTAGTTTTTATCCTTGCCATGATAATTCTCTGCACTGAGTGGAAACACCATGAATATAGACACATTTTTAAGTAGTAGAAGATTGACATTCTGTCATGCTATTTTTGATTTTATAAAAAAATCATAATAGACCCTCTCACTTCAAAGTTGTAGAGGAACTTTATAATAAACTCTTCAATATATTTCTGTGATGTCTAGCAATTGAATAAACTTGAAAGTAGGACTAAAACTTTGCTAATAACTGTCTGCTTTATATTACACAAGGAAATATATATGTATTTACACAAACTGCAGTGAACTCCCTTCACAAATAAAGACTTCTAAACAGAAAAAAGCATTTCACAAAGAACTATAGAATGTGACTGGACACTCAACTACCTGGTTGAAATCAGATTTCAGTCCTCTGTAATTCTGTTTTTCTAATGCCTTTTGCAAAAAGTACAAGTAATCTTATTAAGTTTTATTTAGAGTCCTAACTGAGGATAAATTTTGTTATAAATTCTATACTCACTCACTGAGCATAGAAACTCATTGTTACTGAACGTGAAAGTTAGGTTTTTTCCATATGAGTTAGATTTTTTCCATGCGATTTAACTTTTTCCCTCTGCTACCTATAAACTCCAAAATAACATTTTCTGTTAGAGATAATATGTGACAAAATCTTTCTTGTGTGAACAAAAAGTTTTGAAACTTGATTAAAATGCACTTATGGTTTAAGAATAAGCCAAACAAATTTAAGTATAAATTTATATAGCGAGTCCTTAGTGATCACATACGAATATCCATTTCTTTTCTGTGAACTCAGCAACTACATTCACACATCAAAAGATGTCAGTGAGCTCAGTCTTAAACTACATCTTTTTAAAGAAAAGTATTTTAAAGAACAAAGAAGAATCCAAGTAAAAAAAGTAAATGTTAGGTTTTTAAATCTTTTAAGAAATTAAAAATGGAAACGTTAAAGAATTTACTGAATCTATTTCCCTCACTCTGGTATTAACAAAAATTTCTCACAAAAAGTATAAAACAGCATAAACGTTCAATACATACACTAGTATTAGTAACTTATCCTTTCACTTGACTAGCATTTGTTGAGAAAACAAATGGCCAAAGTGCTTAATTTTCATTTAGAATGGAATAATCTAGGCTAACTCTGAACATAATGAAAGAAAATGTAGGGGACACAGTATTTAAATTTTTACATGAGTAAGGAGGGTTTGCTATTTTGCCTACTAATGATTTTACCTCAACTTTAAATCTTCCTAAAATGCCAACAGCCCAAAATAAAATTTAGTATCACCTGACTATAGACTGAATAAACCTTCAACATCAATCCTTAACTCCTCAAATAATGACACAAAATCATAACACATTTTTTTTTCATGTAAGGACCAAGCAGTTTTAAAAAGAATCTAGTCTCAAAGCATTCTCAAACTTAAATGAAAATTTGAGCACACATAATACTTTCAAAGAATAGGACTGTTTTAAGATTCTCTTTGGACTTGAATGACCATTTTGTTCACTTTTAAATAAATTACTAAACAAAAATAAACAATTGAGGGTGTGTTTTTCAATTTTTTGTTTCTAGTTTTCCCAGGCAAAGGCCTTTGCTGTGGCCACACAATGTCTACACAGGTTAGCCTGTCGCTTCTCTGCACAGAACAAATCAAGGGTGAGCAAGCTCAAAGGGACAAGACTCTTGCAACTACAGCTCCTAGGGCCACCTACTCCTGCCATCTAGGCCTAAGACTGGGGCGCGGTTCTAAACTTACCAAAAATGGAAGCCAAGGGCACAAGCTGGAAGGCAGGCAGAGAGATCTTTTGACAGGAATCACTCCGTCAGTTAGGGAAGTGGACAAAAGCTGAGGGGAATATAAACAAGATTCTAGAATAAAGGCAGTGTCAGGATTAAGGAGAACCCTTTAAGAAGGGTTCTCATACTTCTGAAGTATACATGTTAATCGGGTGAGAACGAAAATACAACCCCCAGCTTCAAAAGAAATTTTAAATATGCTAGTGCCTACACACTAGAGTTAAATCCCAAGCAGTACTGTTAACATCAGATATTATCAAGAGTGAAGTGGAAACAGATTATGTTTGTATTTTTCAACAGATACAGAAGTCAAAGGAAGAAACTGCACCTGCAACTAAGAGATTAAAAATACCACCTTCGTAAACCTTTGACCATAAATTTCTGAATCTGTGCTCTCATTTGGTTGAAATTACTTTGACCCTAATTTACTATCATTTTTGTTTAATCAAGCCTACATTTTAAAAAATCATGATTAGTTTCAAAATTTAAAACTTTTAGAACCTTCACCAAGATTACTATTAAAACCCTTAGTATAAAAGATGTCTGTGATCCTTACAATTGATGGAAGCCCTACTACTTTCATAGTTTTTAAATTTCTATTTTCTGAAATTATAATGGTCAGGTATCTCCAACTGCTAAAGAAAATATAGTATGATCTGGTTTCCCAAAATTGAAACATGGTTAATAGAAATAAAAAAAATTGTATTTACACAAAAATAGCCTGAAAAATTAAAAAGAACAGTGAATCCTAAGATCTACCGGGGAGGGAAAGCAGCATCATAAATAAGTTCAACTTGAAAATTTGGAATTTTTGTCCTGGGCCCCATGCCATTTATTCATCGCCATATTGTAAAAACAACTTGTTTGCAAAGAAGAGGTTTTATCATCTGCACGTCTTCCTCACTCAGGTCAACTTGGCTTTCTTCTTTGCAGGCCCCTTGTGCCCTTTGGCCTTTCTCCTTAAATTCCGCCTGTCAACCACAGGCACCTCCACTTCTATCTCCTCGGAGCTGCTGTCCACCGTCTTTTCTGTTGACTGTGTCAACTGATCCAGCTGCTCAGAAGACGCTTCAGACTGCTCCTCTGACAGGTTCTTCTGTCCTGCATTCTGTGAAAACGGCACATCTTCAAGTTCAACCTCTATCAGAGAGCTCTGAGGCAGAGCTGCAGATGATTCCTGGGGCTCGGCCACCCCCTCCTCACCCTGGTCTTCCAATGAGGCGGTAGTGTTGGGTGACACATTTTCAGGGATCGATTCCTCAGAAAATTCAGCAATCACAGAGTTTGGAAAAGCACTGTCGGACCTTTCTTCATTTGGGAGAGTAGCCACACTGTCTGAACTCCCAAAATGTGCCTTCTTCCTTGAAGCCAGAGGCAGCTTCTCCTCGGTGTGCCCCTTGTCATCAGACGGACCTTCGTCCAGCAACGTTTCTGAGTCAGTGGCATGTGAAACCTAAAAACAGAAACTCCAGTGAACAACGTTTGCAACCAAGTTCTTACATAGATTATTCTCAGGCACTAACATGCAAAGACCCTGAACACATTTTAAAGAATTCAGGACTCACTACTTTTGTCAATCATGTGCACATATTCTCTGAATATAGCTCAGTTTCTTAAAAACTGTCTTACATGATACTTTGTATTCATTAAGTGCTTGCTTTAAAGATACAATAAAAGTAATGATTTTACCTCAGAAAGTATTTAAGGCTCTTAAACTATCCATCAAGATTCTTTAAAACCGTGAATCAATTCAAGTGTTTAGTTTCTTGGTGTTACTGGAGCCAGAACCAAGTATCCTGGGACTTGACACTGTGCTACCCCACTGGGTTTGATTATTAGTTGATAGGTGGGGTTTCCCAGGTGGTGCTAACCATAAAGACCACACCAGCCTGTGCAGGAGATGTAAGAGATGCAGGTTCAATCCCTGGGTCAGGAAGATTGGAAGAGGGCCTGGCAACCCACTCCAATATACTTGCCTGGAGAATCCCATGATCCGAGGACCCCAATGGGCTACGGTCCATAGGGTCTCAAAGAGTCAGACACAACTGAATGGACTTAGCAGGCAGAAAGGCAGTGAAAATTCTACTCAGGTAATTACAGGAGACACCAATAAAATAATGCTATATAATAGTTTTTTAGATTTAAATTGGATATTCAAAACTAGAAATTAAATGTCCTTTCAGACGTGGCATACACACACACACAAACAATGGAGTGTTACTCAGCCATAAGAAAAGGAATAAAATCTTGTCATTTGTAACAACATGGATGGATCTACATGGTATTAGGCCAAGTAAAATAAGTCAGACAAAGACAGAACCCATACGATCTCATTTATATGTGGAATCTAAAAGACAAAAGAAACTGAAAACAAACTCAGATTAGGACACCAAACTGGTGGTTGCCAGAGGGGAGGCAGTGAAGGGACTGAAACGGTAAAGGGGATTAAGAGGCACAAACTCCCAGTCATAGACCAAACCACAGGGATGTATGATACAGCATAAGGAATATGTCAATAATATTGTAATAATTTTGTATGGGGACAGAGAGTTAACAGACTTACATTTTACATTTAGGTGATGATTTTATAACATATGCAAAATCAAATCACTATGTAGTACACATGAAATTAATGCTGTACATCAACTATATTTCAATAAAAATATTTCTTTAAAATATTATATCAACTTTTCCCCACTGATAAATCTCTCTAATTAAAACAAATTAAATGACTGTACTGGTCACAGACCAGCAATACGTTAATTCAAATATTTCTGCATGCCTGCTAAGTCGCCTCAGTTGAGTCCGACTCTTTGTGACCCTATGTACTGTAGGTCCACCAGGCTCCTCTGTCCATGGGATTCTCCAGGCAAGAATCCTGGAGTGGGCTGCCATTCCCTCCTCCAGGGCAATTTCCCGACCCAGGGGTCAGGAAAGAGTCACCCAGGCCTCTTATGTCTCCTGCACTGGCAACTGGGTTCTTTACCACTAGCGCCACCTGGTGAATAATATTTAGGTGTGTCAGTCACTCAGCCGTGTCTGACTCTTCATGACCCCATGGACTGGTGCCCTCCAGGTTCCCCTGTTCATGAAATTCTCCAGACAAGAATACTGGACTGGGTTGCCATTTCCAAATATTTAGGTCAGTAATGCTTTATCCATTTTTCTAAGCATTTCCTAAATTTACAAAGTAAAACTCATGTTGTTATCATAAGTCAGATATGAATGAAGTTACAAAGATTTGAATTTATATTACTGATCGCATCTGCTCAAAATATCCAGTGTAGTATAATTTATTTTTCCTAAAGGAATGTCCACGTTAAAGTAGAGGAAAATATATATCCTGCACTGCCCCAGCTGAGTCGCCAAGGCTGGACACTGTGACTGTAAAAAGTTAGGTTATTTTTCTATTACCTTATCCGGGGCAACACCCTCAAGGGGTTGTGAAGAGTCTACCACCAGTGGCGCAAGATTCGTAGAGTCTTCATTGGAACTAAAAGACTGCAATTTTAATTCTTCATCTAAAACTTCACTAGTGGAGTCCTCCTCTTCTGTTACGAGTGAAGTCTTAAGAGTATCATCTACTATCTCACCATTCATAGGCTCTAGTGCAGATTCCTACACAATTGAGCAAAAAAAAGGGACCAAATTACAGATTAACTTACTTGTCATGCAACGTGGTCATTCTCAGTACCTCCCTATCATGCACTAGAACTCAAGATACATTCTACCACATTACTGGGCATAGGTTAAGCAACAGCAGAGTCAGGAAGAGAACAGAACCCCTAAGCAGCCCAATTTCCCTCTGTGTTCATGGAGAACCATGCAATGAAGAGACCCTACCTCCTTCTTCCTCTTCCTCATTACAGGGCAGTCACACAAAGAAACTGTTCGGTAAAAAGTTACCAGAGAAAGTCTAAATTTGGCGCTGGCTCTTTACAGAACATCAGCTTTTCAGTAGCTGGAATCTTTGGGGTCTGAGGGAAGTCACAGTTCAGCGTGCCTGGGAAGGAAGCACTACCAGATCTGTGGCAGGTTGAGTTTGGGTAAAGCTTCCCGCTGGGAGAAGAGAGTCCCCAACCTCAGTGACCTGACTGTACAGTCAATAAAGGGTTGTCTCCAAACAATCCTGCCCCTTAAATCACATTAAAATATGGAAAAGTGATTTGATAACACAAGGTCTCCAATTTCTGAAACTCTTCCTCTCATGTTTAATCAATCTACAAGACTGCCATTAATGTCTAATATTTCTAATTAATACCACTGACATTTTATATTTAAAAATTAGAATAATGATACACTTGAATTTTAAAAAATAGACTTGGCTGGATTATATAGAATCCCTGAAAACATATAATGAGTATTTTCCTAAGGGATATTTAAATCAGAGACTTAGAAAAATTAATCTGGGGAATTCCCTAGTGGTCCAGTGGCTAAGACTCAGTGCTCCCAATGCAGGAGCCCAGGTTTGATCTGGAGGTCAGGGAATCAGATCCTACATGCCTCAACTAAAGGTCCCACATGCCACAACGAAGACCGAGTACAGCCAAATTAATTAATTAATCTAAAAAACCACATAGACTTAAAAAAAAGAAAAATTAATCAGGCCGGAGTACAAAGAATAAACTGCGCACAGAAGGTAATTAAAATAAAACTCACAAAAGAACCAACTGGGGTAGAAGAAATGTTAAAAAGATGAAAATGAGAAAGAGATAGCAAAGGTTTTTATAAAAAAAATTGAATTTTGGTGAGTAACTACAAGAGAGAAACAAAAGAGAAAAATTCATGTCCTTCAAGTTCTAGGTTTGGGAATAGAATGAAAAATAGGAAATAGGAAAAGAAGCCCAGTAGAGAAGTGATAGGCAAGAACAGAGATTAAATTTAAGATGATAAAAGACATCTGTCTAAACAGAAATACTCAGAAGGCAGGTAATACTATGAGATCATAGTCTGGATCAATCTTCAAAGTCTAGAGCTACTGGTCACCCCCACAGAGACAAACATTCTGTCATAAGACTAGATGTACCCCCCCCCCCAAAAAAAAAGAACAAAAGAGCAGAAGGTCAAGAACTGAGTCTTCTAAAATGTCCACAAACACAGGGGAAAAAGGAAAAAACAACAACAACAGGAAACAGAACAGTCAAAAACCAAATGCATAAAACCAAATGAAAACTCCAGAAAAGAGATAAACCTAGAAACCAAAACACAGTAGTGTTATAAAGCCAGGCGATCAGAAAATCGAGAGGAAGGGAGAATAGACAGCCTCAGTAAGGAAAGCCACTGCGACTGAGTGAAACTGTCACTGGTGACCCACCACGTAGGTACTCAGAGGTTTCGCGGGACAGAAGAAACACGTTACAGGTAGTATGTACAGCATAATCTTAAGTTTTTAATAAAGGAAAAAACCACATAAATATACATTCCCATAGTCATCTAGAAGCAGATAAATTTTGTTTTTAAAATATGTATTTCTCCAATTTAAATCAGTAATGCAGTTTCACTTTCTTAGCTCCTGGTTGGACTTGACAAACAGGTAAAATATTTTTAAAGAAACTTAAGCACGTCTGAAAGGAGAAATAAGGAACCTGTAAAAGACTAAAGATATTAAAGAAAAAGAAGAGAAGGACAGGAAATAGAGAAGATGAAAAAAGAAAGAGAAAAATAATTGAGGAGCTGCAGAAATCAAGACAGATAAAGAGATTTTTTACTTGGTCAAAAAGTTATTTTCTTGCCTGTTTTCTAGTAATTAAACAAAAAAAGAATTTAGTTATTTTTTAGGAATTTGTAAATCAACTGTTAAGTAAAAATACCTTATTTTTTTCTGGACAACTAATTCTATCTTTACATCCAAAATCGGGTGAATTTAGGGCTTGTTGGACCTTAAGGTATTCTAATTGGTTTTTTAAGATAGGCTTCGATCAGTCACATAATTTGCATCACTTCTTAAAGTTTATGTTTAATTCCACAAATTGATTTGAATTTTAAACACAGAGAGGACATTACTATCTAAACATCTTCTATTTTATCTCTGTAATATGTCAAACTTTATAAATTCAGTTTGAAACATAAAATACTTAAAACTTTATCTTCCGCTACCTGACTTTGCTTTAGACATATATGCTTTTTAACATTACAATTTCTACTAAGAGTCTTTATGCTTTTCCAACAATATATGACTAAGTTGAAATTTACGTCCATTCATTCTATTAAATAAATGAATCTCAGAAATCCAAAAAGGAGGGGATATATGTATACATATAGCTGATTCACTTTGCTGTACAGGAAAATAACACAACATTGTAAAGCAACTACATTCCAATAAAAATTAATTAAAAAAAAAGCAAATCACTCACCTTTTCACCTTCTTGCTTTTCCAGGCCTGGCTGGGTTTCTGGTGCTGGTTGAACATCTTTATCACTACTTTCATCCTCAAATTCAATCACACTCTGTGCGGGTTCTTCTTCCAAGAATTCTTCCGAGCTCTCTGATGTGCGTGCAGTAGACTCCAATCTAGGAAACCAAAGAAAAACATTTTTACTTACTTTATTAAAGATGCCACAGGTTACACTCATACAAAATGGCAAACTTCAATGAATGATTCTATTGGAGTACAGCTGACTGACAATGTTGTGTTAGTTTCTGCTATACAGAACAGTGAGTCAGTTATACATACACATATGTCCACTCCTAAGATGGCAAACTTCACTGATAAATGTTGCATGTGTTCTGACTATTACAACTGATTGGCCATTACCCATCTCTCTCTCTTTCTTTGGGTCTCCCTATTCCTTGAGACACAACAATATTGAAATTAGGCCAGTTAATAACCCTGAAATGGCTCTAAGTGTTCAAATGAAAGGAAGAGTCACATATTCTTACTTTAAATCGAAAGCTTGCTAGAAGTGACTAAATTTATAAAGGCACGTTGAAAGCTGAGACAGGCAGAAAGCTAGATCTCTTGTGCCAAATAGCCAAGCTGTGAATGCAAACCAAAAGTTCTTGGAAAAAAAAAAACCAACAGTGCTACTCTAAGTGAACACACCAATGATAAGAAAGCAAAACAACCTTATTGCTGGTCTAGAGAAAAAGTTGTAGTGGTCTGGACAGAAGATCAAACCAACCTCAACATTCCCTTAAGCCAACGCCTAATCCAGAACAAGGCCCTAAATCTATTCATTCCCAGGAAGGCTGAGAGAGGTGAGGATGCTGCAGAAAAAAGCATGAAGGTAGTGGAGAGGCTGGTCCAAGAGATTTAAGGAAAGAAGTTATCTCCATGAGAGTGCCCAGTGAAGCAACCAGTGCTGATACAGAAGCTCTATCAAGTTAGCTAGAAGACATAGAGCTAAGATAATGAATGAAAGTGGCTACAATAAACAGACAATAAACAACAGACTTCTCAATGTAGACAAAAAGAAGAAGTCATCTAAGACTTTCATAGCAAGAAAAGAGTAGTCAATGCCCGGCTTTAAAGTTTCAAAGGACAAGCTGACTCCTGTTAGGCACTAATGCAGCTAGTGACTTGCACTTGACACCAATGCTCATTTACCATTCTGAAAATCCTAGGGCCCCTCAGAATTACCTACTCTGCCTGTCCTCTATAAAGGGAAAAACAAAGCTTGGCTGACAGCACACCTGCTGAAGACACGGATTACTGAATATTTTAAGCCCACTGTTAAGACCTATTACTCAGGGAAAAAAACAAATTTCCTTTCAACATGTGACTGCTCATTGACAATGTAAGTGGTCACCCAAGAGCTCTGATGGAGATGTATAATGAAGTTCATGTTGTTTTCATGTCTGCTAACACAACATCCATTCTGCAATCCAAGGATCAAGGAATCATATCAATTCAATTTCTTAAGAATTACAGTTCATAGGGCTACAGCTGTCAAAGATACAGATTCCTCTTATTAATCCAGGCAAAGTCAATTGAAAACCCTCTGGGAAGGATTCACCATTCTAGATGCCACTATGAACACTTATGATTCATCGGAAGAGGTCAAAATATCAACATTACAAGGAGTTTGGAAGAAGCGGATTCCAACTATCATGGATGACTGTGACAAGTTCAAGACTTCAGTGGTGGAAGTCACTGCAGATGTGGCAGAAACAGAGAACTATAATGAGAAGTGGAGCCTGAAAATGTGATTGAATTGCTGCAATCTCAAGATAAAACTGTAATGGATGTTCTGTTCAGTTGCTCAGTTCTGTCTGACTCTTTGCAACCCCATGAATCGCAGCACACCAGGCCTCCCTGGCCATCACCAACTCCCAGAGTTTACTCAAACCCATGTCCATCGAGTCGGTGATGCCATCCAGCCATCTCATCCTCTGTCGTCCCCTTCTCCTCCTGCCCCCAATCCCTCCNGCCATCCAGCCATCTCATCCTCTGTCGTCCCCTTCTCCTCCTGCCCCCAATCCCTCCCAGCATCAGGGTCTTTTCCAATGACTCAACTCTTTGCATGAGGTGGCCAAACTACTGGAGTTTCAGTTTCAACATCAGTCCTTCCAATGAATACCCAGAAGTGATCTCCTTTAGGATGGACTGGTTGGATCTTCTTGCAGTCCAAGGGACTCTCAAGAGTCTTCTCCAACACCACAGTTCAAAAGCTTCAATTCTTCGGTGCTCAGCTTTCTTCACAGTCCAACTCTCACATCCATACATGACTACTGGAAAAACCATAGCCTTGACTAGACAGACTTTTGTTGGCAAATGGATGTTTGTAATGGATGAGGAGCTGCTTATTGTGGATGAGCAAAGAAAGTGATTCCATCTTGAGATGAAATCCACTCTTGAAGACGCTATGAAGATCGGTGAAATAACAAAGACTATGACATAAACTTAGTTGAAGAAGCTGCATCAGGGTTTGAGAGGACTGACTCCAATTTTGCAAGAATTTCTACTGTGGGAAAAATGCGATCAAGCAGCACTGCATGTTACAGAGAAATCATTAGTGAAAGGAAGAAGTCAGCCAATCTACATGGCAAAGTTTATGGCTGTCTAAATAAAGAAATGGCCAAAGTCACCCCAACATTCAGCAACCACCCCCCTGGTCAGTCAGCAGCCACCAACACTGAGGTATGACTCTACACCACCAAAAAGATTATGACTCATTAAAGGCTCACAATGGTTATCATTTTTTTTAACTAATAAAGTATTTTTAAATTATATACTTTTTCTTTAAAGACATATATTATAGTAGAGTGTAAACATAACTTTTATGTGCACTGGAAAACTCAAAAATTTGTGTGACCTGCCTTATTGTGATAACTGCTTTACTGTGGTACCGCGGAACTGAACCTACATCTCTGGAGTACGCCTATATATAATGTCCCTTTCATTCTCAAAAATACCATTTGGGGCAATAAATGATATGGCTTAGCTCTACTTCTGAAATGCTTTTCAAACAAATCCACAACTTTCTATTCCCATTCTCATCTTCCTTCTTCAAGCCCTATTCTCTCTGGACACTGTAACTTCTTCCCAACTCATGTTCAGACTAGCACTACATACGTTCTTTAGTAAGGTTTAAGAAAGGCAATACAAAGAAAGCTCAAACTACGGCACAACTGCCCTCATCTCACACGCTAGTAAAGTAATGCTCAAAATTCTCCAGGCCAGGCTTTAGCAATACATGAACCATGAACTTCCAGATGTTCAAGCTGGTTTTAGAAAAGGCAGAGGAACCAGAGATCAAATTGCCAACACCTGCTGGAGTCCCATCACCTCATGGGAAATAGATGGGGAGACAGTGGAAACAGTGTCAGACTTTATTTTTGACGGGCTCCAAAATCATTGCAGATGGTGACTGCAGCCATGAAATTAAAAGACGCTTACTCCTTGGAAGGAAAGTGATGATCAACCTAGATAGCATATTAAAAAGCAGAGACGTTACTTTGCCAACAAAGATCCATCTGGTCAAGGCTATGGTTTTTTCAGTGGTCATGTATGGATGTGAGAGTTGGACTGTGAAGAAAGCTGAATGTCGAAAAATTGACGCTTTTGAGCTGTGGTGTTGGAGAAGACTCTTGAGTCCCTTGGACTGCAAGGAGATCCAACCAGTCCATCCTAAAGGAGATCAGTCCTGGGTGTTCACTGGAAGGACTGATGTTGAAGCTGAAACTCCAGTACTTTGGCCACCTCATGCGAAGAGTTGACTCATTGGAAAAGACCCTGATGCTGGGAAGGACTGGGGGCAGGAGGAGAAGGGGATGACAGAGGATGAGGTGGCTGGATGGCATCACTGACTTGATGGACATAAGTCTGAGCAAGCTCCGGGAGTTGGTGATGGACAGGGAAGCCTGGTGTGCGGCAGTCCATGGGGTCACAAAGAGTCGGACAGGACTGAGTGACTGAACTGACCGTGATGCTACTTACCTGTGTATCAGTTTTCCTTACCAACACCCCTCCCAATTTTGTGCCTTTGCTCACATTATTCCTGCAGTCTAGAACTGCATGGTACAATACAGTAACCACAGAACACTTGCAATTATTTATAATATGGTAATAAACTAAGTGAAATAAAGGACTCAGCTCCTCAATCGCCCGAGCCACACTTCAGGGCTCAGTGACAGGCACACGGAGCAGAGGCAAGGCACTGAACACACCCACCATGACAGGAAGCTCTCTAACAGCCCTGGCGTAGACCAAGGCCTGGCAAACTTTTCTTTTAGGTTTTGTGGGACACATGGTCTCTGAACACTCACTCACTCCACCACTGCAAAGCAAAAGCAACCACAGTAAACATGTAAACTAATAAACATGGACGTGGCACAGTAACATTTTATTTACAAGAGGTGGTGGGCCAGACTGGCCTATAGACCATAGTTTGTGAACCTTCAAACCAGAAAAGTCTTCTTTCCCAAATATACTTGTTGAGTTTCTACTCATCCCTGAAGCCCTGGCCCAAATGTCAAATTTCTCCATCCCCTCCGTTAAGAGTCAATCACGCTCTCCTTTGTATCTACAGCACTTTCACTTCTATTTTCACATCACAAACCACCTTGCAGCTCTCTCAACCTGCATCCTAGGAACAGACACGTGTATTAGAAACTACTAGTCAACAGCAAAGGTGAAGTTTGGTTCCTCATGGTGTCTGAGCATTTAAGCATCTAGTCTTACTGCTACTATTTTACGAAAAGCTGAAGAAAAATTCCACAACATTTCTGTGATGTGTAATTTAAAATGAGCTATTACATTCCCTTCTAAAAAGGGTATTACATCAAAATGTTACTCAGTGGAAAAAAACCATAATTATCTAAACTCTTATTACTCTTTTCACAAGTTAAATACTTAGATTTTTCTTTAAAATGGTGGATTTTTCATTGAAATATAAAATTTACATAATTATCCAACTTTAAAATTATATACATAATAAAATTAGCATAGCTACAGAATACTTCACCTGAGAATAATTTTATAGTCAAGATGGCAAAGCTATGAATGGTTGACTCAAGAACAGTTAGTAGGACTATCAGAGCAAAAGCTTAATTTAACTATAATATTCAAAATCTTGCTTTCTTTAAATAAGAAAATAAGGTTTTGATCCAAGGTATCTGTTGATTCAGCAGACTATTAAGTTTCTGGAGGAGCTGATGATATCATTTATGGCAATTACTAATTTATGTTAGGTTCTATAATCTAGTAAGATGAGTCCAGATAAGTCCATTATAAAGTAAAATTGAGGGTTTCTTAAATTGACTAAACTTCAGGATTATTAAAAACCACAGTTACTGTCAAATTCAAAGCTGACAATAAGTGACTCATTTGAGATAAAATAACCACTAGAAGATTCTTCTGGATTTTCACACAAGAGACTAAAACTTCAGTTTATTCTACTCTCTTACTAGCAACCTCTCCCTATAATACTGTCAATGTGACACTTATTAAGTGTAATCAATAATCTTGTTGAAGAAGTCAAATACCAACTTCTACACCAAGGTCATTTACTACACAAATAATATAAAAAAGTCACCTTAAAAACTAAATACTATGAAAATAAGAGGACACAAAATAATGACAGTGAAATAAACAATGCTTTACTTGTTCACTGAAGCTGTGGGAGAAGTCTGAGGAGTCTTTTCATCTTCCCCTTGAGAACTACTAAACTCAGAATCCTGAAACCGCTTTCCAATCTTTGGCCGCTTTAGATGGCTACTTCGAGTACGAGTGGAAACAGGTGTTTTATCGTGACCTGAGAAAAAAATAGCAAGCCCATAATTAATTGACTGTGTATTCAAAGAATTACCCATTAATTATACACAGAAATGCAAGAACTAAGCTAATTTAACTATATCACCACCATTACACACTTCCTTTCTATCACATCAGGCTAGGAAACCATGTCAGTGACATATTTTAAATTATGAAGTAACCTTAAAGTCAATATTCATTCCTCACATGTCTATGTTACCTTGAGCTTTGCAAAGTATTTGTGCATTTTCACTTAGATTCTCTTCCAATAATCTTGGGAAGTAAACAAGGCAGACATTATGGTCCCTATTTTACAGGTAAGGGACTGAAAAAACAGAGGTACGTAGCTCATCTGTTCACACACCACAACTCCGACCTAGATATTAGAGGTGGGTAAGTCTTTATTTATACTGAGGGACACACACACACACACTTAATTCTTACACTCTCAAAGACTTACTAATAGACCAGCTGAATTTCTTACCTTCAGAAGTACTTGCAAAGGCATCTTTTAGAGAATCAATCTAAAACAGAGATACATATCAAAACCAAAAGTTTTAGACCCTTTTTCCTTCCTATGCATCTACTTCATTCAGTTTCAAAGAAAATCTTTTAAAAACTTTTTCAAATAACACCTTTTGTATTCACTATCCATCAATTAAGAAGATTCACAAATGGCAACCCACTCCAGTATTCTTGCCTGGAGAATCCCATGGATGGAGGAGCCTGGTGGGCTACAGTCCACGGGGTTGCAAAGAGTCGGATACGACTGAGCGACTTAACTTTCACTTTCACTTAAGAAGTAAAAAGGCTATATTATAGCTTCAGTTTATTATTAGCCCAAGAACTTGTGAAATCACCTAATATGCAATACTGATATACACTGGGGTTTCCAAGTGCTCTGTCCTCAGCTCCTTTCTCAGTCCAAATACTCCCTCTGTGTAACTGTATCTACCACCTTTACTTTAACATCTCCTTGCTGATGAATCCAAACATGCAACTTAATTTCCCCAACTTTTTTCCTGATTTCCAAAGCTCTTTTTCCAATGAAATCTCTCTCCAGTTAATACTCCAACCCAATTTCCTATCCAATCTGTCCCAAACTAAACTCTCATATTTAATCAGTATTATTCTCTATCTTGGCTATTGGCAATAACAATTCAGTATGCTATTCCAATCAAAGACCTGTGGGGCAGTAATGACTTCTTGTCCTTCATTCAACCAACCACAAGCCTGTCCATTAGGACGCTGAAGAATCTCTCAAAACTGCCCCCTCTTTGGTATTACCAATGCTTCAATTTGGGCATTTATCATCCTTAACATGAAGGTGTACACCTTAAATATGTATAATTTTTGTCAATTATACCTCAATAAAGCTAAAATATTATGTAGTTAAACAAAATCACTTCCCTATGTGGTTACTAATAAAAAGAGTTTAATATAAGAAATATCTTCCTTGATTAAAATATTATAGTAATATGAAGAATATGAATTTCTAAAATGAAAGAAAATCTAATTTATATCGCCAACCTTCATAGTACAGTGAAATTTTAATGTTCTCATTAAAATGACACAAATTATTTGGCTTAATATTCAAGTAAATCATTGCTATCACTACATGTATGAAACATAGATTTTTCTACTTTCCCTTGTTTTATGATATCTGATCAGTAATAAAAGAATTTGAATATATCTGAGGAATTTGAATGCAACCTAATAGAAGGGCTTATTTTGAAGCCTGAAATTCCAAAGGTAGGAAAAAAAACTGAACTCCTTATACAGTTATTGTATTATTTATATTATCCTTAAAAATGCTTTTCAAAATTTTTACTCAAATAGTCATCACTCATGCTAATTAAGACAGAAGAAGAGAGGCACAAATAATTCCCCAAAGCACTTGTTGAAATGCATATGCATTTACAGAGACATATTCAACACTCACTAAAAATATATTCAGATACCCACATACAAAATAATTATGACTATATTAAAACCTTCCCTGGTGACTAAGCTGGTAAAGAATCCACCTGCAACACAGGAAGACCCAGGTTTGAACTTTGGGTCAGGAAGATCCCCTGGAGAAAGGAATAGCAAACCATTCCAGTATTCTTGCGTGGAGAATCCCATGGACAGAGGAGCCTGGCAGGCTACAGATATGGGGTTGCCGGAGTCGGACATGAGTGAGTGATGAACCAATGTAATAATAATGTAAAAGCTACCACAACAAAACGCTGCAAAAAATAAACCTCTAGGATCCCACCAATGAACTGGTACTTTAAGTAATATCAAGTAGGTTTCAGAAAAGTACCTGGTAAGTCCTCTGGAATTCAGTAAGGGGAATTGCCCTTCTACTTTCAGGTTACCTAGTATTTGCAAAGTGTATTACATTCTACGGTGACTTCAACATATGGCCTCAAACTTCCCCCAAATAACTTCATAACCTTTGACCTATTTCACTTCAAGAAATTTATCTGTGCAAGGAAATAATTACATTTGAACAAAGATGCATGTATAATTGTGTTCATGGTTGGGCCATTTATAAAAAGTAAGTATAATATGTTAAGAAAATAAATGCTGGTATTTACATAGAAGAGTGTGCTACCTAACAACAATGATTTAATACAGTAATGACAGGGTTCTCTGGTGATTCATTGGTAAAGAATCTGCCTGCCAATACAGGAGACATGGGTTAGATCCCTGGTCCAGGAAGATCCCACATGCCACACAGCAACTAAACCCATGCTTCACAACTACTGACCCTGTGCTCTAGAACCCGGGAGCCACAACTACTGAAGCCTGTGCGCCCTAGAGCCCAAGCTCTGCAACAAGAGAAGCCAGTGAATAAGAAGTCCTCGCATGCAACGAAGAGCAGCTCCCACTCGCTGCACCTGGAGAAAAGCCCACCCAGCAACGAAGACCAGCAGGGCCGTAAATAAATAAATAAAATTTTAAAAAAGTAATGACACAGAAAATGCTTACAACACTATGTCAATGGAGAAAAGCGATTAGAAGCATGTATGAAAGTGAATGAAAGTCGCTCAGTCATGTCCGGCTCTTTATGACCCCATGGACTGTACAGTCAATGGAATTCTCCAGACCAGAACACTGGAGTGGCTTGCTGTTCCCTTCTCCAGGGGATCTTCCCAACCCAGGGACTGAACACAGCTCTCCCGCATTGCAGCCACAAGGGAAGCCCAGTTAGAAGCATAAAAGAATAAAAACAGAAATGAAACATATGCACATACATGTTTCATAATATATATTAAGGACATATACAAAAATGTTAGTTGCTAGACCTAGGGTAACAGAATTATAGATCTTTATTTTCTCTGTACTACTTTGTGTATTCCAAATTATTTTTCAAAGAAAATTAAATCTTAGAAACCAATTAACAAAAAATGCCAAGTAACACAGTAGAAGTTACATAAGTTTGCTGAATGAACAATAACATTTATAAAGTTAAATATCAGCTGAACCTCTTTTTTAAAAACAACACACTTGGTATTTCCTATGGTAAATACACAGTGTACCTACAGTTAGCTGCATCTCACTAGACTGACTGTCTTCAGTTCGTGCTTCATATTCTGGAACAGAGGCAAGACCGTATTCTCCAGATGTAGATCTTTTAGCTTCATTTTGAGAAACTGCTGTGTGAAAAAGAATTTTTAAAATTTTAACCCAGTTAGTATTTGGTTTTAATTGTCACATTCTTTGTACGAATTTTTACAAAAGCCCTAAAGAAGGGTGTTAAATATTCAGATGTGGGATATCCCTTCACCAATATCTTACAATGAAACCTTAAAAGAGTTTTAAATAGTTTATCTGTTATTTAGCAACTTCATAAGACTGAGTACTACCTTTGATCCCCTGATGCCTATTCTGTGCTGAGTAATCTGTGTTCATTTCTTACCCACCAATTTCTACTGGACTACTGCTGATGCTGATGCTAAGTCGCTTCAGTTGTGTCTGACTCTGTGAGACCCCACAGACGTCAGCCCATCAGGCTCCCCCGTCCCTGGGATTCTCCAGGCAAGAACACTGGAGTGGGTTGCCATTTCCTTCTCCAATGCATGAAAGTGAAAACAGAAAGTGAAGTCGCTCAGTTGTGCCCGACTCTCAGCAATCCCATGGACTGCAGCCTACCAGGCTCCTCTGGCCATGGGATTCTCCAGGCAAGAATACTGGAGCAGGGTGCCATTGCCTTCTCCACTGGACTACTGAGCCATATTCTATTGGGCTACTCTAGGTCTTCTTACTAATAATGACACAAATGTTTAAATATAACAAAAATTCAAACTCCAGAAAAGAAGGTCTATTACTAGAGAGATCACATTACAACACATTCGACTATTCTGGACTATAAGACCATCATTAGGCAATGCTTTTACACTAGCCTTATGTCCAAACTGAAAACAGTCTTACCTGTAATTTTAAGTGTTTCTCTTTGTAATGCTCTGGTGATTGGTATTCTCTGGTACCAGTGTCCAACACCTTCAACTTCCCAAAGGAGTTCATGGTCTCCTGGATATTTTTCAAAGTACTGGTTGCAAGCTGAAAAACACATTGAAATTTTTCTAGAAATCCCAGCAGTCAATTGGAATGAACAGTTAAATGCTGTGTAATGTGTATTTTATCACCAAAAAACTGTTTAGAGGACACTGCTCTGGGAAAAATGCCTGGTGTTTTCCTCACTTAATGCATTTGGTAAGTTCTCCTACTCTTTGGTTTGGCTGTGTCTTTTGGCTCAAAACTCATCAAGAGGTGAACCCAGTTTTCAGGCAAGACCTCTAATAGGGCAAATGAGGAGAACTTCTGTGCTTTTTAAATTATATCTATATTTTGGGAAGTGTGAAAATCTAAAGTAATTCTGTAAATATGAATACATAAAAAATTAGTCTGAAATTATTTTTTAAAAAACTTAAAAAATTTTTAAATAAGCACACAAAATAATGTTTTATAGTGTGTATAGACAGAGACTTAAGTGTGAAACCATGGGCAGGAAGGATACACTCAACTTGAGGAACACAATTATCTCTGGGGAGAAAAAGGTGAAAGGGGGATGGGACTAGGGCCAGGTTCAAAGAGAACATCAACTGTATCTACATCTTGTTTAAGTCTCCATCTAGTTTAATTCTCTTAAAATAAGTGAAAATAAATGAAAATATGGCAAGATCTTAACATCTGTTAATCTGGACACTGAATATGTGGACACCAGGATACCATTTGCTCACTTTCCCCCCATATATTTGACAATATTTCTCAGGTTCTTTGATTGTAGTTCCCACACCTATTAGGAAGTGAAAAGCTGGAGAAAACCAGTAGGCCACACTGAGTCCTCTGTCTCAATTAAAATAACTAAAATAGTAGAGCATGCATTACGTAATATATAAGCACCTGCAGTTCACTTAGGATTCAATTTATTTATCATTAGAATCCTTAAAAAGGGTAAGTAATAGGAGACTCTGCCTACAGTAGATTTGTTTGCTGCTGCTGCTGCTGCTAAGTTGCTTCAGTCGTGTCCGACTCTGTGCGACCCCATAGACGGCAGCCCACCAGACTCCGCCGTCCCTGGGATTCTCCAGGTAAGAACACTGGAGTGGGTTGCCATTTCGTTCTCCAGTGCATGAAAGTGAAAAGTGAAAGTGAAGTCGGTCAGTCGTGTCCGACTTGTAGTGACCCATGGACTGCAGCCTACCAGGCTCCTCTGTCCATGGGATTTTCCAGGCAAGAGTACTGGAGTGGGGTGCCACTGCCTTCTCCGAGATGTGTTGTATCCCTCCCCAAATTTAGTGAAGCAATAATTAAGACTTTAAGAGGAAAATCCATGTTCAGATTACCCAGGGCATACAGGACTCACTCCACTCTCATGTACGGGCCTAGAGAGAAACTGTGAATCAAGATGAGCATGCAATGCTTGGTTTTTGTTTTCTGGATTTTTGACATTAAAAATCAAAAATATTTTTTCAGTGAATATCTGATTCTAGATTAAAATCAATGGTAAATTATATACTATAAAAGTTTTCACACAAATCACTCTTCAGTATCAAATCTTACTTCATTAAGAAAAGAGCAATACTACAGGCTTCATACAAATACAAATATAAACCCACTAACGGCTTTTAAAGCACGACAGCAAGATACATCCACACAATAGAAACAGCATTAAAAAAGAATAAATTGAGCTACATGAATCCATAGGAATAAATCTTATAAAGATGAGTAGAAAAAGCAAACTGCAGAATTCATACAGTACATATTATTCATATAAAGTTTTTTTTTAAATTGATTTTCAAGGACTGCATTTAGGGCTTTGGCATGGAAAGCAGAGTCCTAACCACTGGACTACCAGGGAATTCCCTGAAGTTCTTAAACATGTAAAACAATATGACACCGAGACTTCCTGGTGGTTCAGTGGTTAAGAATATGTCCTCCAATGCAGGGCAGTCGGGTGTGATCCCTGGTTGGAGAACCAAGATCCCACATGCCTTGGGGCAACTAAGCCCACATGCCACAGCTAAAGAGCCCACCCAGTGCAACTAAAACCCAACGAAGCCACACATGAAAAAGACGATTAAAAAAACATGACACTGTTGGAGAGTGTGTGTGTGTGTGTGTGTGTGTGTGTGTGTATAAAGTCAAATAAATTTAAAAAAATAAAATAAAATAAAAATTAAAAAAAAAAAGTCGAATAAATGCATGGGGAAAAGAAATGCCAAATTAAGGACAGTGCTTGAAGGAAAGTTACACTGCCCAAAATAGCCTGGAGTTAAACTCCCCTCCGGGTCCTCCCCACCATTCTATGCAAAACAAAGAACTCTCTCATCCGAAGAAAAACAAATGGACACTAAGGTTGATTTGCCCAGCTTCCAGCCTGTCCAGCCTCTGGCTGATCTCCAGAATTCCTTGCCCCAGCCGTTTAAGAGAGAACCACTCTGAACAACCTTGGAAAACAGGCCCCCTTAAGACAGTAGATTTCCACATACATGCCTGTGTATACTTACTCTTTTCTTGGGTGGTGCAGCGGCTCACTAATCTGACTGCTGCCCCTTCTCGCCTCATTAAAGGTGACCTGTTCCTGCACAGGGCCGGTCTCATTCATTTCCTGAACCTCGCCTTCTCTAACTCCGTGCCCTACAGTGCTTATACCAAGGGAGGGAGGGAATAAGCTAATTGGATAGGACAGGAGTACAACTACATTGGCAACAATCCACTTCTCATGGATGCTACATGCTGGACGATACATGAGTATTTTGTTACCTCCTACTTTTTTTTGTATATATGAATTTTTTAATTTAAAAAGCTACCACAGGGACTCCCCTGGTGGTCCAGTGGTTAAGACTCTGCACCTCTAACGCGAGGGGTGAGGGTCTGATCTCTGGTCAGGGAAATGAGTTCCCACATGCGTTGCAGCACGACCAAAAAGAAAAAAAGCCTACCACAGACAAATAACAAATAACCCAAAGAAAGAATGGTTAAAGGATCTAAATATACATTTTTCCAAAGATGATACATATATGACTAATAAGCACATGAAAATATGTTCAACACCAAATGCACATCAAGACAATGAGACGCCACTCCACATCCACTGAGAGGGCTACAGTAAAAAGACAAATAATGGGAGTTTTCCGGCAGTCCAGTGGTTAGGGCTCGGCGCTTTCACTGCCAAGAGTGAGGGTTCAATCCCATCCGGCAACTAAGACCCCATAAGCCTTGCAGTGTGATCAAAACTTAAAAAGTTAAAAGGACAAGTAATAGTACGTATTGGTGAGGATGCAGAGAAACTGCAACCCTCATACAATGTTTACGAGAATGTAAAATGGTGCAGCTGCTTTCAGAACAGTTTGGCAAGGTTATGAACAAGCTATTTCATCCACACCTAGATATACACCAGTGTAATGTTCGCACAAAAACTGCACAAATGTTCACAGTAGCATTATTCCTAATATCTAAAAAGTAGAAACAATCCAAGTCTATCAACTGATGATGTTATATCCACACAACAGAATATATCTCAGCCATTAAAAAAAAAATGAAGCACTGAGTCAGACTACAACATGGATGAACCTTGAAAACATTTATGCAAAATGAAAGAAGTTAGACACAAAGAAGTTACAATACATCATACAATTACAATTACATACAATTTCATATAAATTATGAAATCTCCAGAACAGGTAAATCCATAGACACAGAAAACAGATCAGTCATTGGCTGCTAGGGGATGAAGGAAAGGAGGAACGGAAGAGTGACTGCTAACTGGTACAGAGCTTTGGGGGATGTTGAGAATGTTCTAAAATCAGATACTGGTTATGGTTGCAAGCTGTGAAATAATAAAACCACTGAACTCTACACTTTATGCGGGTGGATTTAATGGTATGTGAATTCTATTTCAATTTCTTTAAAAAAGCTACCATAACCTCAAAATGTCATTTATGTGAGGTTAAGGGCACATCTGCAAAATGCCATTTATGTGAGGAAAGGGCACATAGACTCTCTTGACCCTGGAGAGTCAAGAATGTAATTTACTTAATACTGACATACACACATTTAAGATAAAGTGCAGAAACAAGTCCAAAGTGACACTGAGACAAGTTTAACGTTCTAAAAATTTAATCCGATTACCTATGTACATGAGCGAGGTCAGAGGATACCGCAAGCCAAGTGCATCTTCTGTGAAGGAATCAACAAAGTCCTCCAGCATGTGAAGCCCACAGTCTTTGCCTCGATATTTCTTTCTTACAAACATTGTATCCAGAACTGGCAGTTGGTAGCTTTGGGTAAGAAATGAGGCACACGTGCTTCCTGCAGTCATAAAACAGAAATCCAACAATTTTTCACATTTAAAAGACCATGTAGGTATATATATTTAGAGAAAATGCATAAATTTTACAATATAAAATGCTTTCCAACTATTACATATCATAATGTATACCTGAGATGATGAGAACTGTGTATTTTACAGCTGCAAACAGTATCTCATGCAAATTAACTGTTACCATTTGATGAACTGTATGCTTGAATACATATTTCTTTCCAGACCTGTACAACTTCAAAGCTCATCAACTATTAAAATTTAAAGAGCATCTGGTGATTGCATAAGTACACGAAGTAACTAATTTCAACCTTAATATGTGAATATTCATCTTTTCCCTTTACTTTTTCCCTAGTGAGTACAGTTTCATTTTTATCTACTTAATGACGGCAAAGAAGTGAATTAGTTCTCCAGATTTTTAAGGACTATGGATTAGGACTAAATGGAAACATTGGTTTTAGAAACAGCTAAATCAGCAATCTTTCCTCTGTGAATACACTTTTTAAACTAGCCTGAAAATTTAAGGTTTAATAGGAGAAATGTTTGTAGTAGTAACTAAATATGCCTCCCCTTATTATATTACAGAGCTACACTGATTTGTCTTTTGAGAACCCTGATTTGGGTTTTGACCCATCAAATAGATGTATAAGCTTCTATAATGTAACTTAAGATAGTTTATAAGTAGAGGACATCATGGTGGAGTATCCCACGTTCTAAGTTAGGTATCAGTCAGTTTTCCACTCTTTTAGTACTTCCAGTAAAACAATTATTCTCAGTTATATTATTCATGTGATTTTGGATACTTATAATGATGTAGTTCAAGAAAGAAACAAAACTTCAAGCACCAAACCTTTCACAAATTAACTTTTAACCAATCATATCTTTTAATGAGATGGTCAATATAGCAAGGCTTTTTAAGTTCAACCAAATAATTAATTACTTATTATTAAACTGGAGAACTTCAATAACTTTTTTCAATAATCTCTGCAAGAGATTATCCACTCCAGGATTCTTGCCTGGAGAATCGCCATGGACAGAGAAGCCCGGTGGGCTATACAGTCCATGGTGTCACAAACAGTCAGACACGACTGAGCGACTAGGCACACACACTAAGACAATGAATTTAAATTCAAAACCGGTGGCACGCTGTTACACGCTTAGATCTGAACCGCTGTTCTTCAGTTAGGACGCCAGGAAGGGTCCAAGTGTCTCACATAGTGGCTGTAATTAACAACGCTGCTCTATACACGTTAAATTTATTAAAAAGGTAGATCTCAGGCTTCCCAGGTGACTCAGTGACAAGGAATCCACCTGCCAATGCGGGAGCCGCAGAAGACTCGGGTTTGATCTCTGGGTAGGGAAGATCTCCTGGAGGAGGAAAGGGCAACCCGCTCCAGTACTCTTGTCTAGAAAATTCCATGACAGAGGAGCCTGGCAGGCTACAGTACATGGAGTAGAAAAGAGTTGGACAGAACCGAGTATGCAAACCAAAAAAAAAAAAAAAAGTAGATCTTAAGCATTAGCATCTCAAAAAAGAAAGGAAGAGGGCTTCTTTGGTGGCTCAGTTGTAAATATGTATACGTGAAACCCAATGCAGGTGACAGGGGTTCGATCCCTGGTCCAGGAAGATCTCACATGCCACGGAGCAGCTGAGCCCGTGTGCAGGAACCACAGCGCTTGTGTTCTAGAAACACGGAGCCACAGCTAGTTAACCCTGAGCACCCGGGAGCCCGTGCTCCGCACCACGAGAAGCTGCGCAGTGAGAAGCCTGCACAGCCACCCAGAGGGCACCCCGCGCTGCAGCTAGAGGAGGCCCTGCACCGAAACAGAGGCACAACACGGACAAAAATACGTCCAGTTACACACACACACTACACACAGAAAGGAAAAGAAGGGAGAAAGAAAACGGCAACCATGTCAGGCAGTTAATATAATGATTATGGTGAATATGCTGCCATGTGTATCAAATCACAACTCAACTTATCAATTACACTCAATAAATCCAAAATAAATACATACAATTTTCATCAGTCTAACGGGTAGCCTCACCAACAAGCTACTGTGACTAGCTTTTTTAATGTCTTAAAATTAGGGTTCTCGCATAGTAACTGCTAGAAGTGATAAAGAAGTCAAGAGACATTACTTTAAAAGTAACATTAATTCAAAGAACAAAGCAAAAATGAGAAAAGAATCGTATCTAGTTCGTAACACTGTCTGAAGATCTATTGCTTTTACTGTTGTACATGTCTCAGAATACCAAACATATGAAGTAAATTTCCCACAAATTGATTTTTTTCTATCTTTACACAAACATTCCTTTAAATAGAGAAAAGGTAGAGTCTAGCATCTAATAGTGTTAACAAGGTCAATTTATGGAACTAACAGTTTTCACAAAGTCTAAAGTTCTACTTACTCACCATGTACATATTCATTTCAAAAAACCATGCTAATTATCTTCTTGCGACTATACCTTAAATTCTTATTTTTATATTTCTATCAGATTCTACCCAGATATAAGAGAAATTAAATAAAGGGCAGAAAAACTTCCCAAGTTACCAGAGATTCTTCAGATACATCAACAGCAAAATTACTTAGTAATTAGTAAAGGAAAAAAAAAAAACCTACAACCTTAGATGAACTTTTCATTAAAAATCTAGTTGAAATGAAATTTAATTTAGCATTGCACAAGAGGCAGCTTGGATATTTATACTCCTCAGAATTTCACCTTTGGCCACCTTTTTCTATATGCTCTCTCTAGGTAATCTCACCTACTCTCACAGTTTCTACCATTTATTCAAATGCTTATGATAACAACCTTTTATTTCTGTAATGCATGAAACTTACTCCAGGATGAATGGAAGAGCTCATATAAATGTAAATACAACAAGAAACACACAGTCATCTCCAAATACAGAGAAAAAGCATTAGACAAAATCCAGCACATTCATGATAAAAATACTCAAGGTCTTCAATCTGATAAAGGGATTTATGAAAAACCCCGCAGCTAATAAAAACCACATTTAATGGTGAAAGACCAGATATTTTCCCCTAAGATTAAGAACAAGATAAAAATGTTAATTCTCACCACTTTTATTCAATATCTTAAGGAGGTTCTAGCAGGGCAATTAGGCAAGAAAAGGAAATGAAAAGCACCTAGAAAGAAATAAAACCTTGTATATAGACCTTAAGATTTTCATCTTAAGAAATTCACTAAAAAATTACTAAAACTGGTAAAGTTTAGTATAAAGTTCAGCAAGGTTACAGGCTATAAGATCAATATACAAAAATCAATTAAGGACTTTCCTGGCAGTCCAGTGCTTAACACCTTGGGCATCCACTACAGGGTGCGTGGGTTTGATCCCTGGTTGGGGAACTAGGATCTAGACCCTCACGTGCCTTGCAGAGTGGCCAAAAAAAAAAGAAAATTCAATTGTATTTCTAGACACCAGCAATGAACAATCTTTAAATGAAATTAAGAAAACAATTCCACTAACAAGAGCATCACCAATAATAAAATACTCAGGAATAAATTTGGCAAGAATACAAAAGTGAAAACTACAAACATTTAAAAGAAATTAGGGACCTCCCTGGTGGTCCAGGGGTTAAGAATTTGCCCGGCAACGCAGAGGACACAGGTTCCATCCCTGGTTAGGGAACATCCCACATGCCGCAGAGCAACTAAGGCCATATGCCACAACTACTGAAGCCCACGCACTCTTGAATCCCTGCTCTGCAACGAGAGGTCACTGCAATGAGAAGCCCGCACACCACAACTAGAGAGTAGCCCCGCTCACCCCGACTAGAGAAAGCCCATGCACAGCAACGAAGAGCCCCTGGGATGCAGTGAAGACCCATCACAGCCAAAACTAAGTAATTAGTTTTTCAAAAAACCAAAGGAATTAAAGAACAGTTAAATAACTGGAAAGACATCCCATTGTTCATGATTCAGAAGACAACATTGGTGTCAGCACACCCCAAACTGACCCATAGGTTCAAAATTCAAGCTGGAATTTTTGCAGAAATTGACAAAGTAATCCTAAAACTCATATGGAAATGCAAAAAAACACAAATGACCCAAATAATCTTAACAAAGAAGAACAAAGTTGGAAGACTCCCAATTTAAAGACTTCCCATTTTAAAAGTTACAAAGCTACAGTAATCAAGCCAGTGTGGTACTGGCACAAGAATAAATAGCAATCAACAGAATAGAAGCTGCAGAAACAAAACCTCTTATTTTTGGTCAACTGATTTTTGACAGGAGTCCCAAGGCATTTCTCTGGAAACACAACAGTCTTTTTAAAATGAATGGGGGTGGGCCAACTGGATATCCACATATGCAAAAGAATAATGTTGGGCCCCACTCCACTTTTTTAGACCACATACAAAAATTAACTGCAAATGGAACATAAACATAACTTTACGTGCTAAAACTACAAGAATCTTAGCATAATACGCAGTAAATCTTCATCACCTTAGATCAGGAAAAGTCTTCTTAGCTGAAACACCAAAAGCAAAAGTGACACATAAAAAGATAACTGGACTTTATAAAAACTAGAGCTTCAAAGGACATCAACAATAAAGTAAAAGACAATCCACAAAATGAGAGAAAATCCTTTCAAATTATGTATTTGATATGGGACTTCTATCTAGAATATATGAAAAATGCTTACAACTCACTAATAAAAAGACAAATAAAACCCTAAAAACGAGCTAAGGATTTAACAGACATTTCTCCAAAGACATACAAATGGCCAACAGGTATATAAAACATGTTCAATGTCTCAAATCATCAGGATAACAGCAAATCAAATGAGTATCACCTCACACATATCAGGATTGCTACCAGCAAAACAAAAGACAACAAATGCTAACAAGGATATGGAAAATTGGAACACTTGTATTCTATTATTGGGAATGCAAAATGGTGTAGCCACTATGAAAAAAACCACAGGGTTCCTCAAAGTATTAAAAATAGAACTATCACAGATCC